AGTGAGTAATAATTTTGTGTAAATAGAAATATTTATTCCGTCATCTTAATATTGCAGTGTAAAAGAAAAAAGATCTGGCCTGGCAATTGAGGGCTTTCTGTGGCAACCCAAGATGCAAGGGAGAGGAGAGCAGACATGAAGAGGATAAGAGAAGAGGGCATGGGAGTGGCAGTTAAGAACTCTGGATAGCTCAGCAGCAAACAATTAGATGTAAACCTTTGGCACAGGTAAAACTGGTTTATAGATAGCAGAGGAAACAGAAAAGAAGTATACAACATATGTAAAATACTTTTTATACAGGTCATTCAGACATAATGTGGAGTTGAAAAAAAAAAAAAAAGGAAAAATGATGCTCCCTGTCACCATTTCCTCATTTCCTCCCCTGACTGAAGGCAACTGCCTGAACACTCGAGAGAAAGAGTGGAAAGGTAAGTATAACACCAGGGAGAATGATAGGTGCTAGAAAGTATGCATTGTATTGAATAATTATTGAGACTTTTTCCCATGTTTGTGTTCTTAATTTATTTTCTTTTGTCATAAATGAAATACATTTGAAAGGCTTTATGCTTCTCTTTTTCTTTCCCTGTCTAATTCCCTAATTTGCTGAATTTGCAATAGCTCGCTTAGTTCCTAGAATGCAACTTAAAGTTTCTCCTGACATTAAAGTCCTGCTGATACATGAAATGCTGGAGGTTTTGTTCTGCCTTTTCTGCAGAGTGATTTCTTCACATCAGTCAGTCACAGATCATTCAGTGCACCTGCCCCTGTTAGTGTATTCCAGAGCTTGGTAAGCAGAAAAACCCTGATATATTCTGTCTTTTTGAACCAACACCTAGGAAATTAAGGAACAGTTTTCATGTCTAAAAACATGTACCATTTTTAAATTGCAGGCACATGATGCAAGCCCATATTTGGGGAAAATTGATGCTCTCACTGGGCTCCCCTCTGAACTGGAGTGGTGAAGCACTGCTGCAACACAGAGAGTAAAAGCCCCCCCGTGACAGAGCACCAGCCAGCTGCTCTTTTGAAGTGGGTTTGTTTAAACCTGCTACTCTAATGAGCTCACCAAGGATGACTGGAAGGCTTTTAATGCCAAAAAAGCCAAGTTTTACTGTAGCAGGAGCGACAGTAACATTCTTTTAATATTAAAAAAAACCCAAAAAAACTCAAAAAAACCCAAAAAAAACAGTTCAACTTATAAAGACAGGTTAGAAATAAGAGAGCTCAAATCTTATATTTCTTTGTGCCACAGAGAGGCTCCTGCCTTTCAGCCACTCATCAGTGGTTGCCAAGAGTGGCCCCACCTCTTATTAGCAAACTATTGCCTCAGAAGCAGGACTTCCACACTTCACTTGAAACCTCTCACGAACTGATTCAGCTGCCCAAAAAGTTTTCATTTCCTTTACCATCACCTAACCTACTTAGTGTAAGTTCAGCTCAGAGCAGAGAGTTTAAATAATACAAAGCTTCAGCCACCTAATTTGCATAAAGTATTTTTCATTCCCTTCAATCATTTTCAACATGAAAGTAGCATATATCTGAAGGAGCAAGGTAGCCTGTCTTTGTATTAGCATCAATCTAAAGAGTGTTCCTTGAGAAACAGTTAATTTCAAACTGAATATTGCAGTAATAAGCACTGACCAAGCATTTTTTTCTCTCAGGTAGTTTTCAATATCTGTCACAAGCTATAGAACACAACCCTCTAGAGAAAAATTAGCATTCAGGATTGATGAGAGCAAGAATAATGTATGAAACTGAATAGGCTAAAGTCCATAGAAGTCATGGCAGCAGTATGGATTTTACAATGTATTCATTATATGATGTAACCATTTTCTCAAATGGTTACATCACATTGGCACATAACCCAACAAAGGCAAAAAAAAAAAAAAAATTTGGTTTAGACATTTAACTAGAGAATGCATAGAGTGCAATTGTTTTCATGCTAAAATGTCACAGCAAGAGTTGACATCCAGGATTAAACTCGCATGTTTTGAAATATAAGTGGTCAAGCATGTTTCAAATTATGATCACTCTTCAGTTTAAATATTTCAGATGTGGTTTTGTTCTACAAGATTGGACATTGGCAAAAAAGAGCAGATTTCAGATCTGGTTCTTACAGGTAAGCAATTCCAAATGGCTTGCAGCAGGAACAGTCATTCCCATTTGTCCATCAACAAGTTTTAAGCATTACTTACCTGATCTCAAGATTTTTTTCCTTTTCATTCAATGTGTGTTAGAAAAAAAAATCTGTGCAAATACTTTCAACAGCTGTATTTTATTGGAACCAGGGAAAACCTACATGATCTGAATTTGGAAAGATCTTCTGTTACTGATATAAAATGTGGTTTTTGGCTACCTTGATGAAATCCATAGGCATAACTCATCATTGTGTGACTATTCATTGCAAGACTAAGTGATGTCTTGTTGGATAGTCACAGTTTTTTCATTTTGTAGTGAATATTCTAATTAAAAATGTGAAGTAAAAATGTAAATGATCTATCCAAAAGAATCTGCATAGACATGTTCCAACTAATGTACCATTGGATTTGCCTTGAAATCCCTCAAATATATTTCTGTAAAATTTCAGAAAATTTTATGCCTTACAGAGGCAAAAGTGTATTTTCATTGCACACAACCAATTTTCTATCTGCTTATGGTTATTTTAACCCATCCCTTATGAAGTTTTCCTTTTGTCTCCTCCTTCTACAGTCCTTTCCTTTAACCCATGTAGAACAAGTATTGTGAAAAAATAGTGCTGTGAGAACCTACACCAGCTTTCTGACATAATCACTCCTTTGGCAACTGCCCAAATCTCTGTGCTCCTCAAGGAAAACAGGTGTTTCTTGGGAACATTCATCACATGGTTTCTGTCACACACAAATTTTAATTTTTAAGATTTTTCTGTATTGGAAACATATAGTGGATTGTATCGTAACCAAACTAGTATGTCAGGCCAGTCTGTGCTGCTGTGATATTTGCCTTTTTGTGCTGGTATATCTGGCACTTTGAAAGCACTTAGGCAAATAGGGAGGGAGGATTCAAAGGCTGTTGCACATTTTAGCTGCCCAAGGAGAAGGTACTGCTGGCTTATATCTGCTCTAAATTGGCTTTGCCTGCTGCCTCAGAGACACTGGTTGGTTTGGTACGTTCGTAAAATGGGCTGTATCGCCCTTTTGTGTCCTAATCCGGTCATTGCATCACTCCCTTTAGTCAGGTGTCCTGAGACATCAGTGGTTCCAGGGGGTTTCTCGCTCGTTCACCCTGCGGCAGCAGCTGCCCCGAGCCCTCAGGTGCAGCCCCGAGCGCTGATTCCAGGGCGGCCGCGGGATGTGGCCGGCCGGGGCCGGCTCTGCGCTCTCTCCGGAGGTCTGTGGGGCACAGATCCCGGCAGGACTGAGATGCTGTGTGGCTGCTCCCAGTCAGGGCTCGCTGCTGTGCCCCCAGAGCTGTGCGCCCTTTTCCCGGCCTGGCCCAGGCCCGGAGCCGCCGTAGCTCAGGTGGGTGCGGGGCCCGGCTGCCCCTGAAGGCACAGGGCCCCCGGCCGGCTCGGCTGAGCCTGCGGCAGCAGGGGAGGGAGGGAGGCGCCGCTGTGTCCCGAGGCGAGTTCGCTTTGTCTGTGTCCCTTGTGCGCACCCAGCCTGCAGGAAAGGGGGGCTTCAGGGTCCTTCTAGGGCGGGAGTAGCTATGACTCTTAAGAGATGAGGGCACAGTTACTGACTGGGCATAGGAAGTCGCGCCTCCTCGCGGCCGGACGCCCTTTGCGGTAACAAAGTCGGCTTTTGCCCGAGTGTGACAGGCGAAAATCGCGCTCCCTATGGCTTGGCCTCGCCGCCCAGCGGTAGTCCCACGGTCTTGCTGAAACAATATTATTGGCACGATTATTTCGCTCTTGCCCAGGGCCTTGTCCATGGGCTTGAGTTGGACACAGCTGGCAGATTGGGAGGGACCCAGCTGCTGACTCTTACTGTCTTTGGACTGTGACTTGTTGGTATTTTTCAGGTTATTGCGATGGTGCAATCAATAGCTTTGCAATTTATATCGACAGCCACCCAGACTGACTCCTTGGCTTTGAGAGTCAGAGGTGCCAAAGTTCCATCTTTCCCCTCTGTGCCCAGGGAAGAGGGTTTCGATCTGGTACATTTGGAGTTTGTAAACTCTGTGTTTGCTCGTGTGGTTGGAGTCATCTGGGAGTTGTTTTGGAGAGTCTGGCAGAGCTCCCTGAGCCGTATGAGACCTTGCAGCTTGGGCTGGGTTGGGATGATTCTCAGTGTGTAGCCAGAGGCAGTGAAGAGCCTGAAACACCTGAGGCACTTTCCAGGACTAGTAAGGGCAGAACACCGATCAGGACTCCTCTTGTGTCCATCCCTGACAAAAATCCATCTTGTCCACAATGTGCTACCCAGTTTACTTGGATGCTGGGGTTGATGCACCATCTTAAGAGGACCCATGGGCAGAAAAGGGTCCATCTTTAAGTGCTCTAAAAGTAGTAAATCAAATCTCACGTATTGCAGTATTGCTTGTCACGTCTCATGATGCAAAGGGCAGGTGCATGTGGTTCCAAGGGGCGAGTGGATCTGTGAGGGGGGCCAGTGAGGTTTTTCTACCAAGATTGGCCTGGGCCAACACAAGGGGTTAATGCATTGTCTTGTGAGGAATATGGAATGGATTGTTGCCTCCCATCCCAAGGAGTCATCAGCAAGGGGAGCCACAAGAAGGTGTGGACTGAGGAGGAAGAGGCTCTTCTGGTGGAGAGTTTTGCTGGTAGCAGAAATATTCAAGTCCATTTTTCATGTGCCTTCTCACAGTCACAGCTGTGTCAAACAGAGTCTATACTATTTGTCTGTACTGCCATGGCATTTTAGTTTTCTTGTCCTGTTATAGAGCTGCCCGTAGCATATGCTGCTCTAATCCTTTCAAAGCACTTTGTGAAGATAGTGAAGGCACTTGGGGATAATCTCTGTGAAGCCACTAAATTGGTCACCACTAAAGCACTGAGAGACATGAAACTAGGCTCCTGTAATCTGCAGAGGGAGCCTTTCTCTCCTTTGGAAGCACGGTCACCTGCAGACCCACCAAACAAACCACAGCAGTTTGCAAAGCCTCTGTTCTTCACTGGAGGGTGCCACCAGAAGGAGGAAGGAGAAAACTGCAAGCCGATCAAGGTATTAATCACTCCCAGTGTGTGAAGACTGGGGTGAGGGGAAAACAATCATCAGAAAGGATGCTTAACCACTTTGCTTCTCCAGCTGAATTAATTTAGATTCATGTTTTTTGTTGTGACTACAACCTGATTGTTAAGAGAGGCCACATCTCAAATACAATCATTGATACCTCAGAAAAGACTAAAAGTATTCTCAGCTGACTCAAATCCCATGCACTTCAACAAAACAAGATTTCCTTTTTCAACAGTATGGGCAAAATCCCACATCATACTTGGAGCTTACTACAAGATTGGAGGGTCCTTAGCAGTCTAAAAATGTGATCCAAAGTACTTACATTTTTTTTCAACCTGTACTGGAAATTACCTTCCCTTCTTTTTAAATTAACAACTCTCCTGCTGGTAAAGTAAGTTAATTATTTTTTTCTGCTACGTTAAAGCCACATTTGCAGGTGGTGACACCTCCCTGTTTGGTTTTTATTTTTCACTGTGCCATTTTTTAATTTGTGTGAGATTTTTCCTGAATTTCATTTGAACTAAAATTCCACTCATCTTCAATGAAGGAAAAAAGATGAAAGTACAGTTATGTAAGCAATGTATCAGTATGGTGTGGGTGTGCCTGTGAGCCTGTAGGTTATGTGGTGTCACCTTATTTTAGAGGAAGTTGTCTCTTTTGTCAGATACCCACTCTTCATTAGAGATTTTTGCACATAGCAGTAATGAGGATTCAAGGAAGTCTTCTGTCTTTTGCTGGCCACAGGTTCACAGGCTGTATTAATAGATAGGATTAGTGAAGAAGAATAGGTCAGAAGGCTGCAAAGCTCCTGTCCCTTGAGATTTCCTTCTTTAGATCATTAGTCTTATTGAGAGCTCCCTTGAATACAGCGAGCAGAAACTGAGGAAAAGGCTGGAACCATTTTATTCATCAGGACATTCTGGGGAAGGGTGGTTTCTGCATCAGAAGCTCCACTGAAAATGTCTGTCCATTTCTCTGCACAGGCACCCTGGAGGAACAACAACATCAGTTTTCTGACCAGAGAGGCAGCTGTAACAGAGCAAGGAGAGACTATCATAGGTTTCTACCTGTTGGCTTTAGGTAGGTATTATGGTTTGGGTGTGAAAGGAAACTCTTAAATAGATGTTGTTATCAAATTCAAAGTGATTCATTTGGATTTTATCCCTAAAGGAACAGGAAGGTAGAAAATGTCACCTTTTTTCCAGCAATTGTAAGATCAGAGAAGTACATTTTGCTTTTGTTGAAAAGAGGTCTGTAATCAATGCAGAAATCTTGAGGAAAAATATATAGTCAGGCCTGTAAACTTTCAACTAATGTTCATTAAGCTTAATATGTGGGAAGATAAAAGAAGTACCTTGTCAGCAGTACATGATAATTCCATGTTTTCTTGTGTTTTAGTAGCACTGAATAAATGTTCCCTGATTTTCACTTATGGCTGTTGAGAGTCAGTTGGCATCCTACAATTATATTCTGGAGAAACACAAAATATGTTTTTTGATTCTTAACTTTAATTGTTTGTATTGTTCTTGCTTTAAATGCTGGATGCATATAGAAATTGACTTCTTCAAATAGGATCTAAGAAAGATCTAAGTACTAGAACCTTTTCCTGTGTTAGCAGTCACAATACCAAGTATTTCTTTTAGTTCTGCTGGAGGACAAATATTGTAAGTGTAAAACAGAGATTTGAAGATGGTACTCAGTATAAATGCACTCTGATACCACTGTAATTTTGGGTTGTTTGTTTAAATATTATCTATTTTGGGCAGGCTTATTGCCAAACACAAGGAAAATTTATGAAATTTCAAAGAGTGCAAGCATGCTAGGTAATAAAAATTTTCAACTATAGGGCCTCACAGAAAAATAGAAGAAAATTTAACTTTTATTTAATCTGTTCTTCTAAACAGCATGTGCAGAAATGTCTCTGTTTTTAAATTATTTGCCTAACTGATTATTTTTATTCTTAACTTCTTACATATTTCAATTCACCTATTAGGCCTCTGCTTACATTTGACAAAGGCTTGTGGAAGTTAAAATGTCAAATGCTAAGTATTTTAATATGTTTACGTGAAACTTTCTTATTTTTATCTCTAGAAATTAAGGAAAGTTGTGCTTAAAACAAAAACAGATATTTTAATAGAAATATATATGGCTTCTATCTTAGGAGAGGGGTAATAAGGTAAATCAGAGGTATTCAAATTTATCCCCACTCTGTTCACATCTGCGTATCCCCTTGTGAATGGCTGGGAAATGTCTGCACCATCAGCTAAACAATTAAGCAGTTGCACTTAGGACTAGAAAGAACATCTTAGGTCAGCAAGGCCAGTCCCCTACAGAGGCAATGTATAATCTCATTTACACAGCTATTATGCTCCCCCATATAAATGGCTAGGGGTTTTTTTGGTGTTGTTATCACTCTTCCAATTGAAAGCACATTCCTGATTTGGTTTCTGTGTTGGATAGGAGCCTTCACCTAAATTCTTAGCTAAAGTGATCACAACAACTTTATGCAATTTTTGGTCATTCCTTTTAATTGAAATAAATTTTTGCTCGCAAATGACACCCTATGGCCAATCTATATTCCTGAAGGAGCAATCATACCTTGAAGCCTACCCCTGTATTCCTATATTAAGCAATTGAGGGAATTTTCTTTTGTTGGTTGGTTGACTGGGGGGCAGGGAGTAATTATATTTATTTATCTCCTCTCATAAGATCTTTTCCCCTGTCATCCCAGCAGCCTTATAGCAAGGACTGAATCCAGCATCCAAGCAGGGTCTTGCCATCACTATTCCCATTCATATTTACACTCTATCAACTCTACTGATGCCTCCCAGTATTGCCTCTGCATCACACTGGTAGTTCAGATTTCTTCCATCAATCAACCAGCAGAGATGTTCTCCTATGCTGCTTCCTGGTAGTGATCTCACATCTTCTAGCAAATATCTGCCTGGGCCTTTAGGCTATTGAGATTTGATTTCTTCAGATCCTTCAGCCAAGCCTGCAAGTGCTTGCATGTCATAGCTGCTGTTCTTGAAATTTACCTCAAAATTCAAAACTTGAGTTCCTTTTCTCACAGAGTATGTACAACTAGCAGAAGCACTAGTCCAAGTTAAGTGTAGTGTAGATCTGGTGAAAATTGATGGATGTAGGTATACCTTTTGGAAATGATAACTTTTGAAAAAATAGGTTAGTTATACATGAATCTGGAAAGTCCTAATTTCTTTTCTCCTCAAAGATCGACTGTCACAGTTCTGCAAGCAGCAGCCACAGCAATTTATAATTATTAGTTTTACATACACCAATAACTCATTCCATCCAGGGAGCTGTGATGTGGCAGAGCAAGTGCTCTGTCATACAGACACCCTCTTGCCCTTCTGGCAGCAGAGGAAAAAGGCCAGTCCATGTGCTAGCTTCCTGTACCTCTGGTGCTTTAGGGCTCTGGCAAGACAGTCTATATTGGCAGGAGTCTATTGACACTTCCTTACACAAAGCCCCAAAGATGTTCATATTTGATACTCTTGGGTTTTTGATGCCTTGGAAAACGGCTTCAGTGATGACACTTCTGTAGTTACTAAGTGTTTTCTTCTCTTTCAAGTTTAAGTATGGCAGTGCAGCTTGTTGCAAATTCTGATACACTTTTCCAAAACCAAGGAGATGTATGTGATAGGTGTTAGCATTTATCCAGAAGATGGAGTTCTTCTGAATCTCCTCACCTTCACAGGATAAAGTCCTAAAAGCCTTACTATATTTGGCCAAGTCTTCCCAGAGTCACTCATCTTGACAGTGCTCATGAATATCCAGGAGCCATGGTCTCACACCTTTTGCTGAGATAAGATCTCTGTGTGTCCCCTTCTGGAAAGTCTCACAAGTGACAGATAGCACAGCTGTCATTTGTGACAGACAGGGCACTGATGTGTGCATTGTATGTGATACAGCAGCCAGGCTGTTTTGGATCCGTGCGAGGGCTCCTCAGCACCCTGCATGGGAGCCTCAGTGCAGTGGTGTCACACGCTGACACCAAGAGCAAACCAGCAGAGGGAGTATGTGGGGCATTTTGTAAATGCTGATGGACACTGAGGCCACTGCCCTGCTTCTTGACACCTGAGCCACTGTTCCATCGTTCTCCTTGTTAATGCTGGGGCCAGGGGATCAGCAAAGTGTGGGGAAGGTGCAATGCCCTCTCAACAGCAGTGATCCACTGTTAGAGGGACTATCTGCAAGTGATAGCAACTGCTGTGTTACCCTGTGCTAGGTCACCTGGGGCAGCATCCTCCTTCTGAAGGCAGCAGTCTGCTCCCATCCTTCCCTTCAATGAGCTCAGAGCTGTCTCCAGCAGACAGGTGAAAGCTTGTCCTGCTGCTGGGATTACATCTGACCCCTTTTTGCCTATGCCATAAGTGGTACAGTACTGTGGAAAATCCTTGTACAGTTTAAATTATGAGGTACAATTAAAAAGCACTGCCCACTGCGGCTGGCTTCTAGACATGGGGAAAAAATAGAAAGCTTTTTTGCTTCAAAATTATTTACTGGAATTCATAAGTTGGGTGTTTTTCTGCATTTATGCATAATTTGTTCCCTGTTTGCTTTGCCTCATTTCACTCTTAACTGGGCCAGTTAGAGTAAATACAAGGCATAAAAGGAAATTTTATGTCAATAGGAGAGAGTATTAATTAGAGGGCAAATTCTGACTTTTTGTGAATGCTTCCATCAGAAAGGCATGCTGAGTGCATTAACAATCCCATCTGAACAGACCAAAAGATCCAAACATGCTTTAAAACACTTCTGAATGGTAATAGTAAACTGTTACTTGACAAGTGACAGAATGAGTGTTATTTTGGGATTTTGTTTGACAGATAAATCTGAGAAGGTGGGAAAGGAAACAAGCTATTCACAGAACATTCATCCCCAAAATGATTGCATTTATTGAACAAATAATCTGTCCGTGCTTTGTCAAGTCTAAAACAAGATGACTCTTTTCCTTCCTGCCAGAACTGGCAATATGCCCTGGACAGGATATTGTGTGTGTATAATTGGCAGCAAAGACTGAAAACAGAGTAGGGTCACGTCACAGTTGCAATAGTTAATGACAGCTTTGCAAATTCTCTGGATTTTATCACTGTTTTAATTAAAGTTTTCTGGGCAGAAAATCTTTTGCAGCAAGCCTCTTCTGATTGGCATTTATGCTTTGTATGTGTAGTTATGTGACTGATTTCATTCATGCCTGCTCTGCACTAAGATGGTCAATCCAATTTCTGTCCTAGAGGAAGGTTATTTGCTGAGGAAAGAGCTTAGTTTGTCTTGTGACACTGAGCCTCACCTTTTGCTCTCACTTCTTGAGTTCTTCCACTTAAGGCTTCATTTATATTTTAAACTGTGATGGCTGAGTTGTAACACCCATTCTTCTATTTCAGTCTTGCCAGCTTTTACAAGTAAAGGCCATGCAACAATGTCTAATAAGAGCAAGTCTAAGTAGAAAGCGTAATAACCTATTTTGGCTGGGCACAGGTGAACTAATCTATTGGAAATGTGGATGACCAGCTCAGAGCTATCAATTCACATGTGCCAAATTTAGTTCTTCAGAAACAATGTTAACAATGAAACTGCATGCAGCCTCAGGCGCTTATTGCTTGTTCAGTGACCATCTCAGGTACATGAGGAAAAAATAGGGCATGTCTGAATGCACAGGATAGAGTGATTTGACAGAAATAGTTTTAAAATTACAATGTACTTTTTCAGTATTCTTAGAGTTAAACAAACTCAATGTTCTCAGTTGCTTTCAGCAGAAAGATTTTCAGTCTCCTTAGTCACGCCTTCTGGCTACTTTTCTGCATGGGCTGGTGGGCATCACGCTGACTCAGGAGTTTGTGAATAGCTGAAGGGCTGCCAAGCAAGCTGACTTTCACCAGCTTGCTTGGCAGCTTTTCTGTTCCTCCCCAAGAAACCATGGATAACAGCACCAGACTCCCTTGTGGAGTGCTTTTGACATCTGTGGATTAAAGTGCTCTGTTAGAGAGTGTTATTCCAGGAAAAGGATTACTACTGAATTAAATAGGGGCAATACAACATTTTTAATACTGCTGTCCATCCTATTCCTCCTACCTCACAATGTTTGCAAAACTACTGAAGTATTTGCATATTATCTGTGTATTTTGCCATGTCAGAAGATCTAGCATCTCTCTGATGAGCAACTCAAGTCAGACTTGGGTATCCCTCCTATCCATTACATTATGGGAGAAATGTGGTGATCCCTCTCTGAACCTTATGCTGGGTGGCAATGCTCAGTTTCTGCCTAGCTGCTACTTTTTTTTTTTTCTTCTCTCTCACCACATTTTGACCTCAGTTGAAATCTGTCTTTTTTCACCAGGATTGCCTTAGTATGCTGGGTTTGGATTTTGGGGTTGGTTTGGGGTTTTTTGGGGTTGGTTTGGGTTTTTTTCTGGGTTTTTTCTTATGAGTGAACATTAGTGACAGCTTGTAAAAGATGGAACAAGTTCCCTCAGTTGTTTATTTTTCTATCTTTTGTTTTACTGAGATGGCACCTGGTAACATGGAGGCACTTCAAAATTCAGAGGTTTCTTTCTGGACTCTTGATCATCCCCTGAGGCACACACTCCCTGAAATGCAGCTGAGGAGATCTCTGCCCTCACTGAGAGTGTCAGTGCTATTGCTCTTCTTGCCTTGAATTTTCAACCTTCCTCCCTGTTATGCTGTCAGGGCTTGGGGGAGGAAGGGAGAGGGGTTGTTTGGTTTGAGCTGTTATTTTGGTTGGGGTAATTTTCTGGTTTGGGTTGGTCTGGTTTGGGTTTTTTAAGTCAGTCAGTCAATATAGGCAGCAACCCAGACTAGCACATGTATCTGATGGCACAGCGATGCAGTGTCCCACACTCACTACTCTAGCTGACACCACTTTTATGTGACCACTGATTTTGTTATTGCATGGTTTACTAAGAATTTATTTTCTTCTGTTTCTTTTTCTTTTTTTTTTTTTATTCCAAGTTAATGTGGTCTACTACACAGACAGACCATTTTAGGGACTGGATATGCCAGTGCAGGTTCTCCACTGCTTTGCTTGAAAGGACTGTGCCTACCTGCAGAAATCATACTCACTCTGTAACTTTATCTCCCTTGATGCATCCCTCATCTTCAACCTCAGTTTGTGAATGTAATTCCCAAAAATTATCACAAGTACTGTGTCTCTCTCACCTCTCATTGCTCTAAAATGTGCAGTGTTGTTTGGTGTGATGTTTTGCTCAAGTTCTTCCTTAAGACACTTTAACTCAAAACTCCCTTACCCTCCAGGCTAGGGGGAATTTGCTCTGTATATTCCCAGCAAGGGCAGGTGTCTGACACTGGGAGGGTATGGTATCCCTCCTATCCATTACAATGCATGGGCAAAATTTTGTTATTTACAAAGGAGGGGCCATTTTATTTTGTCTGCCATTTTAGCACTATGTCTTCATATGGACAGGGAAAAATATTTCATATCTACTGCCTTGATAAATATCTAACCTTGCAGAGAGTAGAACCAACATACACAGACAACACAACTCCCATATTTGCGTTTCAGGCTATCCTCATTCATTCCCAAAGCCTTCCTCTCCCAGTGCCCTGCTCTGCCTATTTATAATACCTAGATTCAAACAAAAGTCACAAAATCCATGAGTTAAAGTGCATGCAGTTCAAAACAAGACTTGATTAAGAAACATTGTCACCTAGTGGCCAGAACAAGATATATTTACTGGTCGTGTAACAGGATATAAATAGAATATGTGTGTGTGTGTGTGTGTGTGTGTGTGTGTGTATCTCAGTGTATCATCTCACCAGGGATTATTTCTGGTAATACCATAGGCTGACATTTCAGCTCTTCCCAGTTCAAATACTCTTCACATGTTCATTCAACTAAAAAAGATAGAGCAGCAGAAGCTTGGCAATGCTGCAAAGAGAAACTATTGAAAGTAAATTGCTCAGCAGAAGAAACAGTTCATAAAGCCTAACAGAGACTGTCCCATCAACCACCTCCCTCCCACCCCAAAGTGCCCAGAGCACTTCACCGGGAAGTATCTGCCCAGTCTCTTTCTTTACAGAACATGTGCCTTGCTCTTTGTCATTTCAGCTCCTGATACTCCCACATGGCCTAGAGAGGGGGAGGCAATTTTCTCCCCTCCCTTCCTATCCCCAGCAGCCTGGTAGTGAAGTGCTGGATTCTTGACATTGAGGCGGTGCTTCCTGAAGGAAGGCAGCTGCCCCCTTGCTACAACATTAAACCTATCAGCCATCTTTCATAGCACAGACTCCTTTGAATATCCAGAGGTGCTGTGCAGAGCCACCATGTCACACCCCTCTTTACTGTGTTTGTTCATCTCTTGCTGGGTCAAGATACAGCAGTATTATTCTGGGATATCTGCTGTTTGTGCCTGGGCAGAGGGCTGTGGGTCAGCTCTTCTCTCCCTCTCCTGGGAATATTGTAACCTGGCATAAGCCACCAGGTGTAGCATGCCTTATCCTGTTGTGGGCAGCACACACTCAAAAGAGGTCGTGTCTTGCTCTGCCTTGCCAAGGTGAAGCAAGGCCACCAATGTCAGAAATGGCAGAGCTGGTTTGTGGGATAGAAGCTGGAGCCAGCTGGGAGCCAGGTGCTGCCTGACCTGCTGCTCAGCCCTCCACCCCCTTAACTGGCTAAGCCACATTTTCAACACTGAACCTGACCCTTATCCATATACTTTCTGTTAAAAGTCATTCATCTATACACATCTATGTAATTTCAAAAAGTGGGATGTGAGCCACCAGGGCCTTGCACTGATGGGCAGAGCAATAGCTGTGGACATTTGGAAACTCTAGGTCTCTCCAGCAGAGTGTCTGATTTTCAATAGGTTTACATTTATCTACCTTGTGTTTTGCTCACATACTTAGACACATAAAAGTCTGACATCTCTGTTCCTGGAGAGTAAGAGAGAATGCAACTTTCTATAAAATTAAATAAAAGAGACTTTGAAGTTCTATTCCAAATATTCTCTTCATATAGATTATCATATGTATTACTGAAAAATATTCCCATCTGGGACAGACTTTGCTGCAAGGAGATCCTAGATTGTTCTAAGAGAAGAAACCTAGTTGTATTAGCTGCACTTTTCTAAGGAGAACTGATAAAGCAGCCCTCTGGCTATGTGTGTGAACTTTCTGTATCCATTATTGTATACGAGGAACTTAAACAGCTGCAGATTTTGGCAGATTGTTTTTAGTCTCTGCTCCACTCTACCAATCTTTGTTCCTTCTTATATTCCCAGGTGTAACACTTAAGAGTTTCATCTATCCACTTAAGGAAAAAACTTTCAGGGAAAAAATCCACTTTAGACCCTTAAATGGCACATCTTCAGTAGGTGTAGCAGCAGCTCTTTGTTCTGTTTTATTGCTGCACTCAATTACTTGCTCTTTCTTCTGAAATGCACCCAGATGCACAAAAAGGTTTCATGCATAGCTGTCTAGTGGATAATCTGGTTTCATATACTTCCAGTGGAACAAAAGGGAATTTTAGAAGATATGTCATACATTTACACTCAACAGCTCCTTTCTTTATTTGCTTTTTTTGTTTTCATCTAATCATAGAATGGACTGAGTTGGAAGGGACCTTAAAGATCATAAAGTTACATGGATTTTTTTTTTCCAGGTTGGTTGTCTTGGTTTGGAAACAGCATTGTGATTTTTGTCCTGTATAAACAAAGACATCTCCTGCAGCCCACCGACTACCTCACATTTAACTTGGCAGTGTCAGATGCCAGTATCTCCGTGTTTGGTTATTCACGGGGCATCATTGAAATCTTCAATGTCTTCAGAGATGATGGATTCATTATCACATCAATATGGACTTGCCAGGTAAGACTGGATAACACTTACTAATCTGACAAAATTAATCTGACAAAAGGAGTGTAGCTATTTCTGTGGGTGTGCTATCTATAAATAATCAGACAACACCCAAATGAAAGGAGGTAGTCACTAACCTTTCAAAAGGACTGTGTTCTCTTTTGTTACACCTATAAATCTGTGCATTTGACTGGTGTTTCACCAATTTTCAGTGGGTTTTTTTCCTGTGTATTCACAAGAGTTCTTACTAGTTTGGTGGTTTTTACTTCATGTTAGAACTCACACTCATGTTGGAAAAATCAAGGCATAGGCTGTGCTTGTCTTCAGGTCACCTGAAGCCAGGCTGGTTGTTGCTTTAAGACAAATATTAAAGTGCCAATGTCGACTCCTGCTTGACAAGGCGTGTAGAGCCAAGCCTCCACACAGCATTTGGGCATAACCATACATTTTAGCATGCAAGGTTTTGCACTAACTCAGTTGAAACTCTTCAATCACATTTCTAAACTCTTGCTTGATTCATTGCCTGTGGTAGAATGAGTGATTTAACTTTATGGCACAGTCGAGATCTTGGAGGCAGCTCTTTGTTGGAGTACTCAGAAAAAGTTATTACTGTTAATTCCGAAACATACCTGTGTGGGCAGAATATAAATGCACCCCATGGACAGATAAGCACAAAGCTGGCTCCCTGGTGCTTCCAGCAACATCTGTGAGAAAGATTATACTCCGTTTCATCAGGGAATCAAAAATCTGAAAATGACAGGATAGCCTACGGCAAGGTGTAAGAAAGATCATGATGAAGGAAAAGAGAGAGAAAAATAATCCTCTTTTCTTGGAGGCTTGGGTTTTTGGTTTTTTTTAAGGAGGAAGTTAAGCCATTGTACCACATAGATGAAAGAACATTTACAGGTCATGTCCCCTCCATTTCAATAGAAAGGTTCTGTTTATGCAGAGAGGAAGACTTCCTGTAGGAGACTGATTAACCTAGGAGCTGTAGCTTGATCTAAAAAATTATTATTTTATTGTTTAAAATGCATCTCCATAGTCATTAGGCAGAAAACAATTTATCAAAATTAATTATTTCCTCAGCTAAATAGCCTTCTTTCTCTAATGAAATGACCTACAGTTGCAGTCTAAGATCTGTTGAGCAGAAACTCTGAATTTTTTTCATTAAGGGAAAACTTTGAAGTCATAAGATAAACAAACACATACATGAAAACTGTAAGATTCACACCCATATTCAGAATTAAACAGATGCGTATTTTCCCCCTCTTTCGAGGAGGGTTGGAGCTATGACTGAGAAAGGAAAGGCAAAATCTGCATCTCCAGGTTCAGTTCTAGCTTTGTTGCAGATTTCCTGTGTAACACAGGGCAAGCCTTTCAGTGTGAAATCCTGACCCTAGGTCACTGGCGTAACTTAATGCTTATAACTCACAAGGCTGAGAGAAGTAACATTGAATGACCTTTCTGCATTCCTACTCCAAGCTCTTTCAGAGCCCTGTCTGTACTGGGGCTCCTTTTTTGGGATGTAGAAAACAGTGCACAGAGGAATTGGCAAGGCATGGCACACTCTGTCTCTCATCTTGGTTTGCATGGGAACTTCTGTCAGGAGCCTTACAGATTCTTTCATGATGCTTTTGCCTGGGAATCCCTCTTTGGCTGACTTGGAACTACTAAGTCTTGTTATGATGATCTGACTTTTTTTTTTTTAAGATTTTAAAATATTAAGCTAGAGGGGTGCTTGAACTTTGTGAGATGGATGTGTGCTTAATCTTAATGTACTTGAACTGCTTTTTCAAGGGGAGAAATGGTCCATAACATTTTTAGAGTACCCAGATATTTTGTTGGTCAGTCTGTGTTAAGTAATTTGGTTTGCATCTTCTTTAAACAGTATTCATTTGTAAAGTTTGGATATCAAGCAAAATTTTAAGGTATTGGGATCCAAGGACTTTGAGCAGGATGCTAATAATGCATTGGCTTTTCTTAACACACTAATTTGCAAAACATTAAATTTTCTGCTTTGGTAGTGCTCTGTAGGCTCTAGAGAGTAACATGAACCTTTCCAAATATGAATTTATACTGTTATTAATACTAATTAAAATGAATGGTAATCTGGAAAAGTCACTTTGTACTTTGAATTAAGTTTGGATTTGTTGTGGTTTGTTGAGTGGTCAAGCTGGTTATGGATTATTGAGAGAACATCATGTAGGATTCCTGTTTCAATCAAGATTTTGTGCTGTCTTGGGGAACCTCAAACACATGTGTAAACCCTGGCTTCCATTTTCTTGATTAACAAACTTGACAAAAGAGAAGCCAGTGATGAAAAAATAGACTAAGGAAATAGAGTGGCTGGATTCTAGGAAGAATATTGTGCTGAAATAGCAGGAAGCCTCTGTACATTAAAAAAGAGATGTGAAATCATCCACATGTGCATGGGCAGCCAGCACAAAGGTAATTCTGAAAATGCTTAATGTTGAACAGCAATAGTGTTTGGATTGCTGTAGTCTGAGTTTGTAGTTTTATTAGAAGGGGTCTCACAGGTAGAACATGAGGAATGAGGAGCTTTGTGCCATGAAGGTAAAGCCCATGCATTCTGTCAGGACCAGCTGAAGCTGGTGTCTCTGGCTCTCCTCATGCACTCAGGCTCCTCTGCAAGTAGCTGGGGTGGCACTTTGCATGCATGAGCATGGCTCTTTCCTTAGCATGGCCTGTGTGTTTTCCCTTACTTGGTTTGTTTGGCTGAGTCCAGAGGATAGCCTTATTTGGTTTTCTGTCATTGTCTGGTTCACTACACATTTGCTCCTATTGATCAGTTTCTGCTGTCAGGAACACTTAGGAAAATTTTATTTTCCCAAGCTAGCCTGTCATTTCTGTTTATGAAGAAATTTCATGAGCTCACCTCACTTAATCCACATAACTATTTTGTTTTCCTCTGACTCGGGTCTCCTGTGCCCTCAGGTAACATTTTTCAACATTAAGGTTCACCATTCCTGAGCTGCTGTGGTTGAAGGGAGTGGGGAAAAAGACAGACAAAGAGTACTTCTCTCAAAGCAGCCTGGTCTTTGAAAACTCTCTGTAACAAAAGATCTATCTCCAGCTACCAGGACAATCTCACTGCATACCTGCTGAAAGGGACAGAGAGAAGTTCTCCTGTTCTCCTCCTCTGTATGGAAGAAACAATACTTTTCTTTCTCATGCCAAACATTATTTTTGGAGTCTGACAGGACTCTGCTGTCAGGAATGAAGTTACATGGTACATCTGTATCCAAATGCTGCCTCTGCTGAACGCTCTGTACAAATACAGTTTTACAGTGGTGGGTTTTGGAATCTGCTTTCACTTTTATGCCTCTGCTCTACCACTGTCTCATTCCTGAACTGGACAGAGGAAGGACAGTCAGTCTCTGGCACATCCATTTTTTAGCCTCTCCCAATATGATCAGTAAGTAAACTGATTGATATGGTGAATTTCAGGTCAAGGAATGTAACCCAGTGATCAAGAGCCACCTGTTCCCCTATTGACCATATTCCTAGTGAAAAACTATCTCAGAATATATTTTTGTCCTTCACATATTTTTTTGTTTGTATGTTCTGCTGAACCAGAAGTTGCAGTGAAACCTGTAAGTAACATTGTGTGCAAACGTTCATGTAGGAAGTAGAGAAGTACTCATTCTCAACAGGCAAACATGGCTTCTTCTGAGCTTTATTTATCAAGTGATAGAAAGTTTTTCTTGTATTTTTTAGTCACGTGGCAAATACACAAAAGATGCAGATTTCGGGAGGCCTCTAAATGCAGGGAAAGGATTGTAACCTACCTAAACTCCATAGATACATTGCAGACATGTCTGAAAACAAGAATGGACTATGGAGTGCCTTAGAATTTGAAATCCTTCATAATCCTGATACTTCAGTTTAAATTTGTTTCCAGTAGTTCACTTTTCTAATTTTTTTAAATGATTTTTTGATAATGCAGTTTGGTTATTTAAACATTAATTTTTCAAACACTTAAAGATTTTACTATGAGGATCAAGAAGAATGACTGTTCTTACCACATGCTCACCCTGTTGGCATAGGCTTCTTTTAAAACAAATTTCTTATTTCTGACTGTTTCTTACATGTAAGATGTGTCTGGGCTGTGCATCCCAGAGCACAAGGTGGATATCTCCAGGTCATGGACATACCCCCTGTCCCTGACATGCTGACTGACGCTGTTACCACAGATGTACTCACCTCGCTGTCAGCCTAGATATTCCCAGTCCATCTGGCCAGCCAGATGGTGCCAGAGCATCCCAAGCAGATCTGTCTCTGCACAGAAACATCCTCTGGAGTAGCCATTTTTTTAAAAAGTTCCATTTGAGGTATTAGTGAGTGCCAGGGTAGCTTGTGTGACAGGATCCAGCTCACACTGACTCTGTCCCTGCAGCCTGCCCTCATCATCACAAGGGCCTGCCTTCAGCCTCACAAAGCTGCTTCTTGTTGAGCAGAATAATAAAGACACTGAGGGGAGCAGAAGAGAGATAAATGGCTGTTTCATCTTCTGGGTTTACTACAAAGCAGGGAGGAAATCTGGGTTTGAATTCTGCAGTGCTTCCGTGCTTCACACAGCACTTTACTCCTGTCTGGCATACCCTGGACAGGAGCACATGGCAATGTGGTGGTCAGCAGTAAGCCCCACACTGCACACAGGTATTGCTCTACTCTGTAAGCCCTAATGTACTCATGCACAGTTTGCCTGACAGCACCAGATCTGTGGAATGTGGGCATCCCAAAAGGGGATGGTGTGGCCAGGAAGTCAAAATTATCTGGAAACATCAGACTCTAGTGTGTATGCATTGAGGAGTAAGTGGCCCACAGATGTCTGGGATATCTTGCACATTAGCAGATTTTCCAGATTGTGGTGGTGTAGCTGATCAAGTTGCCATCTGAAATCCCAGATAAATAGGGATGTCTAAGAAAAGCTAAATTAGGTGTGCAAAATCCCTGATTTAACAATGCTGCTGTTGGATAAGGAGGGTTCC